ATAGATAGATAGATAGATAGATAGATAGATAGATAGATAGATAGATATCTCCAATTTTTGACAACGCAGCCAGAAATATATGCTGGAACAAAAGAAAGCATCTTCAACAGATGGCACTGGTCAAACTGGATGACTGCATGTAGAAGAATAAAAAAATAGGTTCATGTTTATCTTCTTACACTAAACTCAACTCCAAGTGGATAAAGGACCTAAACAGAAGACCAGATAACCTGAATATTATAGAAGATAAAGTGGAGGATAGGCTTGAATTCATTGACACAGGGAAGAATTTTCTTAGCAGAACAGCAGTAGTATAAGCAGGAAGACCAAAAATTAATGCATAGAACGTAATGAAGCTAAAAATAAATAACTTCTGTGCAGCAAAGGATACCATCATGTGTGCAAAAATGTCAGCATATAGAGTTGGGGGAAATCTTCACCAATTATACATGTAATCAAGGTATCTAGAATATATTTTAAAACTAAACATTAAGAAAACAAATATCCCAATTAAAAATGAAGTATAAAGTTAAACAGGGAGTTCTCAAAAGATGAAAGGCTGAGAAGTATTTAAACAAATGTTTGACATTCTTAGCAATCAGAAAAATGAAAATTGAAAATACTTTGAGATTTTGTGCTAGAGAGATGGCACAGCTATTAAAGGATGGGCTCATAGCAAAAATATGAGATTTCATCTTATTGCAGTCAAAATGGCCAACATCAATAAAGAAGATGACAGTATTTGCTGACAAGAATGTGAGGAAGGAGAAAATGTTCATTTCTGGTAAGAATTCAAACTGGTACAGCTACTATGGGCATCAGTGTGGAAGTTCTTCAAAAAGCAAAAAATTGACCTACCACAAGCTCCAGCTATACTACTATTGGGCATACACCCAGAGGACTCTACATCATACTACAGAGGTGCTTACTTCTCCATATTTATCACTGCTCTGCTCCTAATAGCCAAGAAATGGAAACAGCCTATAAGTCCATCAACTGATAAATGAATAATGAAAATGCAGTACATTAAAGTAACATAATATTATTTAGCTGTTAATCAAGAAGAAATTATGAAATTTTCAGAGTTTCAGAATTAAATAAATAGAGCTAGAAAAATGTTGTCTTCAGTGAGGTAACCCAGATCCAAAAAAGAAAAATGTTGCATGTATTCTCTTATATGTGAATGTTAGCTTTTAAACTTTAGCTATTTTTTTAAATCAAAAATAAATACAAAGGTTAGGCAGCTAATAAGAGACCAGTAGGGGAAAAGAAGATCTCTCAAGGAAAGGAAAATGGAATAGTGTGTTATAAAGAAATAAAGGGGGGACTAGAAAGAGAGGATTAAATGAGGCAGAGAATAGGATGGCAAGATAAAGGAGAGAATATGGGAAAGGAAAACAAATATACTGGAAATCTTTTGAAAAGCAATACAGAAACCTATAATTGTAGATGCTTCCTAAAAATGTATACATATATGAAATGAATTTAAATGGAATCACCATGTAACTAAAGAAAGTTATGCCAGCAAGTTAAATTCCCAGTGCTTGGGATTGATTACATCTTATAGTTTCACTGGACAAGGGGTTCACATAGACACCTCTACAAAACATCACAAGCCAAGATTGTTTATTAATTTCCACAACCACTTACTTATATGTCATTGAACATATAAGTGGTGCAAAAATGTACTTTGTGCACTACTAACAAAGAAAGTTAATCATCAATATTGCCCAGGTACAAACCCATAACCTATAGTAGTATACTGTTATGATAGTCGTACAAATGTTATGGGAGAAAACAAACACTTTTTATTGGATTTAAGGCCTACTCCAGGAGATAGAAACTATACTTGATACTACTATGTGGTCAACATCCTGAAACTAGATAGGCTACAGGCCCGAAGAGAAAACCTTCTACTAAAGGAACATAAAATAAAATGACTCTTAATGGCATACTATTATACCCTTTGATCAATGCACTGCTCAATCCTCATCAGAGAAACTTCTTGTAATTCATGGTAATTGACTCAGAGACCTACAACTGGATGGTATGCAGATAGTGAGAAAGTTTGGGGCACTTAGCCTTAAATGATATGTCATTATCAAACCCTTCCTCTCAAGGCTTAGGAATACATACAGAAAAGGAGGTGTCAAGAGCCAGAGGTGGTGTGTGACTCCAAGGAAACAGTATCTACAATGCACAGCAGGCTCAATATTCACTTACTCATACAAACTGGGAGGCATGCACAAAACCTGCAGAAATTCAAACAAAACAAGATCTTAAAGCTGAGAAGTGAACACAAAGTCCTAGCCCTAACCAAGAAGGTATTTGATAGCCACTAGGAAATGGAAAACTAGTTTTCTACAGTGGAGTGTCACTAGGTAAATGAACGAAACTCCAGAGAAGGCCCCATGCCCAGGAGTAGTTGAATAAACACAAAATGAATTCATGTTTTTTTGGTTTGTTTTTTTTTCTTTGTCTTGTTTGTTATGACCTTTATTTTTGTTTTATGTGGGAGAGGGAGAGGGAGAGGGAGAGGGAGAGGGAGAGGGAGAGGGAGAGGGAGAGGGAGAGGGAGAGGGAGAGGGAGAGAGAGAGAGAGAGAGAGAGAGAGAGAGAGAGAGAGAGAGAGAGAGGAAAGAGTGAAAGAGAAAATTGAGAGAGAAAGAAGAAAGAACATGGGCGGGAGGAAGGTGAAGAAGGTTTGTGAAAAGCTAGAGGAAGAGAAAAAATGTGATCAACATATATTGTACATAAAAATAACAAAAAAGACAGAGATATAAAATAAGCAGAAAAATAGGAAAGATGATTGGTTTTTAGAGTGCTAGAAACTAGAAGTTACACCACTGTATTGAAGAAAGAGTTCCTTTTCCAGAAATAATTGTATCAAACTCTTCAGTGTTGTGCTTGCTATGAAACTCCTCTATCTGTCACAAGCTTGAAAGAATTTTACTATTGTACTTTGGCTGCCCCTCTAACATGTACTCTACAGCTGTAGCAAATCTTCAGATGAGGTCTGGCATGAGCAACACCACTCTTCACACAACTGCAGAAGGAAGACTGTATAATGTGAACCAGGAACAATCCCTTGTTGTAGTTGTTTCCTGGATGTGATGGGTTTTTCTTACTCAGCTCTCCTTAGAAAAACAGAGTCCAGAGTAGAAGACATAAAAAGAGTTCAGAGCTTAATGCTTAATGGTCAGATGACTTAGGAACTTACACTCCTACTTCTGGTAGCTCTTTTCACTGTCTGTAAAGGTATTGACACCCACTGACATTTAGAGATTCATATCTAGCCCAAGGCATAGAAACAATTAGTGCCTTTTCCTGTTTAAATTATATTGTGCATTACTTAATGATGCGGTCAAATGAGGACAAAGAAATATTCTTCTTTGGCTGAGTAAAGCAGAAATCATTTTTGATAATCAGTCCTAAGCCTTGAATCAACCTTTGATTTCCTAAGGGACATTTGCAATAAAATGTGCATACCTTTTGTCTAAAGTTCCAAAGATACAAGTAAATTTGGGGAAATTGAGTACATAGGACATTTTTTTCAGAGGCAGGTTGAGTAGCTGTCCATTGAGCCTAAGAGCTCCAAGAATATAGTACTTAACCACTTACTTACTAAGTAGTGTATTGAGTTTCTGACCCAAGTTCACATCTACTTTTCATTTTTACCTTATATTTTCTGCTGAGTCAAATAGAAGAAGACTCTCTCACAACATTCCCAACCTAACATGCAAGTACTGGTGAGATGCTTTTACATATGGTGTGCCTTCAGGGATGGTTGTAGTTGATGGGACATGAGCATCTTTGGGCTGATTTTCTCTACTTGAGGGAGATAATGTGCTGGTGGTCCCTTCTTACTTATCCTCCTACTTCTCTCTCTTTTCCTGTCTGTCTTGGACCTGCTTTTGGACTTCCAGTCTCTATGCCATAAAAAGACTCAACAGGACCTGCACATGGTGGACCCATCCAATACCAGTTCTCCACATTTCAGCCTCTCTCTCTCTGACTGGGTGGATAAATTTGTGAGCCGACCAAGAAGGCTCAGCTGTCATCACTTCAGAGAGGAAGAAAGAAACTTCACTTAGCCTCAGACTTCAGGTGCATTGACCCATCCATTAGTAAAGCTGATTTGAACCATCTTCTGGCCATTGTGTCTTTTATCTGCTGGGAATTGGAATGATTGTTGGTGGTGGGTAATACTTAGGACTCTTAATTTCTAATGTCACAAAAACAAAAGTTTACAGAAGGTTGGTCTTGGCTAAGCCTTGGGCATCAGAGGATGTTTGTCACCAACATGGGTCCTCACAACCTTCATGAATGAGAGAAGGAACTAGAAATCAGTTAGTAACTAATAAAGGGTTGATTTGAACCATATTTTCCTATGCTAAACCCTTAATTACCACAAATTTCTTTTTGGAAAGGGTGCCAAAGTCATTTTCATGGTTACAGAAATATACTCTTAATAGATATTTTCTGTAGATACTACATATTGAAACACACCTTGCAAATTCTAGCAGTTTCTCAAGCTATCATCCATCACCACCTATAACAGAATTGTTGTTCTGATCATTAAATTTCAAAGGAGAATATTCTTCTGAATAAAAAAAAAATTAAGAAAAAATGTTAGTCTACATGATGTTAGTTACAGATGCATTTTTCAGAAGCAGTTAAAATTTCAAAGTTCTTGTTTAGGTCTCCTGTAATTTTTTTTCAGGGTGAATCAACTGTAGCCTCTGTTTAGTCAATCAAATTTTCATAACATGATTTGAGGGTAAAGTTCTGTAACAGCAATACAGGCTATTATTACAGTAGTGGCCATGGAATTACAGTGCTTATTGGTCAAGTGGTTACTATATACTTCATGTTTAAAAAAGTCTTTTGACAGTAAAACAGGATATGTTGACAAAAGCATGTTGTAGCAACAGAACTCATCTGTCACTGTTCAAGGCACTCTGATGCCCTCTTTTAGCTGTTTTTCTAGGGTGTTTCTTTGTATCCTTGACTAATTGAAACAAAGTAGAAATACTTCTTTACACTCATAGCTCTCCCATTTATCAACACTCAGAGGATGAGAGTACTTACTGTTCAGTAGTAAAGTGCTTATGTAGCTTGGGTGAAGCCCTAGATACAGAATTTATTTTCAGCACTAAAAAGACAAAAGAAAACAAGAATCAAGTAGAATCCAAGAATTCAGTATGATGACATGTATCATATATTTTGATACCAAATTATAAATTACAAAGAAGAAAACTTTAAATTAAACTTTACAATTGAATTATCATTCATTAAATACCAAAGAGGCACTTCCCTAACCATAGTGATGTTCTTAACAATTAGTATGGCCCTACACTTAAACACAAATATATGCTTATGCTAACTCTAAATCTAACTCTTATGCTAGCCTTGTCTTAAACCTAATCTTAATCTTAAATCTAAACATAGCCCATTGCTAATACTAAAATTTACAACATTCTCATCCCTACTATCAATTAGAGCCTTAACACTATCCCTAATTCTAACCATAAATCCTAATACTAGCACAATTTTAATATTAACCTTGCCTCTATCTGTAGTAACAACAACCCTTTATTACCTCAAGCACTAGGGTTAGACCTAGCACTATCCCTAACTACAAAATGAGCATATCCATGACACCAACCCCACTTCTAAGTCCATATTAAAATCATAACCCTAGCACTCCTAATACTAATTCTAATGATAACCCTACATTTCAATTTTTCTCTATCAAAAACTTTAACCCCAATCTTAAAATGACCCTACTTATAATCACACAATACCCCTACTTAATACTAATTCAAATAATAACCATAAGCCAAAAACTATCCTAGCCATAACATTATACTAAACGTAACATTAACCATAATTCTAACTCTAACCCTAACCATACTATAACCTATCCTAACTTCTAACCTTAATGCCAGTAATAACACTTACCCTAAAACCTATCTTGACCATAAAAATAACCTAGTCCTAACTGTAGTTCTAAAACTAACCCTAAATGTAATCCAACCATTGACGTTAACACTAGACTCTAAACCTAACCTAATTCTAACCCTATTTCTAATCTAACACAAAACTCTTCATAGCATTAACCTTAACCATAATCGTAACCCAAACCCTACTTCTAACTCGAAACACAATCTTAAATTTAGCCTTAACCCTAAACCTAACCATAGGCTAAATTGTAGCAGTAGCCTAATGCTAAGCTTTTTAGAACCTTTTTCTAAAACTTATTCTTAAAACTAACACTAAACATGACCAAACATACACACACACACACACACACACACACACACACACACACACACCACAGACATGCATAGTGTCAAAGAATCACATACATTTATCCACAATTTCTGCCGCTCACCCTCACCCCCTCCCCCTCTCTCTCTCTCTCTCTCTCTCTCTCTCTCTCTCTCTCTCTCTCTCTCTCTCTTCTCTCTCTCTCTCTCTCTCTCATTTGCGCGTGAACACTCAAAAACACACACATAAATCACGAATCTCACCATAACTCTAACCCAATTCATAACCCTAATTGTATCCTTAATTATAATCTTAGCTCTTTTCCTAACCTCAATATTTAATCTAAACCTAACTCAAACCTAACAATACTACTAAGCTTAACCCTAACCTTAATTCTAGACCTAAATCTGACCCTGACCCTGACCCTGACCCTAGCCCTAATAGTACCTTTTCTCATTACTCTAATCTTTTTTCCAACCCTAATCATGTCCCTATTTTGTTTTTTTCTAAGATTTATTTTATGTATATGAGTACACTGTAGCTATCTTCAGAGAGCATCAGGTCCCATTACAGATGGTTGTGAGCCACCATGTGATTGCTGGGAATTAAACTCAGGACTTCTAGAAGAGCAAACAGTGCTCTTAACCTCTTAGCTGTCTTTCCAGCCCTGTCCCTATTGCTAATACTAACCATAACCCTAAAGTTAGCCTTATAGCTTACCATAAACATACACCTAACTATCAACCTGACCCCTAACACTTACCAACCCCTAAAACTAATGAGAGTCCTACCCTTCACTCATACATACACAAACATTCAGACACAAACTCTCACAAATCTCTCTAAACCTACTTCTAATAAGGGTTCCCTAATACTTAGACCCCCCTTCTAGCCCATCATCTAAACACAGGGAGAAAAGACAGTAAAGAGGACAAGGGGACCTGTTTAGAAGGAATTCTTTGGGATGATTCCAATCTCTATTGTCAGGATGCCAGCAGTCCAGTTCAGTTTGGTGTCAGGATACCAAACACAAATCAGCAGCAATGGCACAATCCAGCAGAGACAGCCAGGCCTCCACCAAATTGGCACTAGTCAGCAGGAGCAACCAGGACCAGCTGGGACGCCAAGAAAAGTTCTCTGCTCTGTCACAATGAAGTGAAGATCAGTGAAGCCTCATGGCCAACGAAGCACCGCAAGGCTTTGCACCATCACTGTCCCTTGAGTCATATTTATGCTCTCTGCAAACATTATGTGTGCTTCCATGGGTCTTGCCTCAGCAAAACACCACATGAGTCTGCATCACATGACATATTCAGAAACTTCTACTTCATACCCCCCTTTTTGTTTAAAAATTGTCTTTTTACCTAAGATTAGCAATCTACATGCAATAAAAATAATTATAAGAACCATAAAACTAGAACTTTACATCATATTTTAAATAAACAACTTACATAGAATATAGTCTAAGAAAATAACCTTAAACTTCTATTAATATACAATAATTCCAATAAAACAATCTTAAATTTCTATCAATATACAATAATTTAAACTTACCACCCTAGATGATAATAACCATAACATATCAAACAACCAAAAAGATTCATTCCAACTTAAGGGACTTAAGTCTTCTTACAATTGCTTCTTGCTGAATTGGGATGAAGAATTCCTGTTTGGAGTCAAAGGAAAAAAATATGATTAGTCTGAAAAAAATCCTATCTATACATTTGTTGCCCAATGTGTTATTGTGTTATCAGTCCAGTCTCTCTGTTGTCCATACAGTCTATGTGTTGTTGGTTTAGTCTGTGTTGTCTGTCAGTCTATGTGTTGTTCAGCTCTGTGTAATTGATCATTTGGGCTATCCCTTTTGAAATTGGTGTGTATACATATTTTGAGGAAGTAACTAACTGAGCCAGTCTGTGAGAGTGAATCAACCAGACTTATTTGCTTTGTGAAGACATTCATGTCTCAGCTGATAAGAGGTTTTCCTTAGTCAGATCTAAACTTTATAAGTTTTGTTGTTAACCATAAACTTTCTATGTCAACACCATTCATTTGCACCATTAATTTGAGTCTCTGATCATAAACCACTGTTTGCCAGAACACAGGTTTTCCATTCCTCCCAAGAATTCCTATTCTTTCTACTGGAGTAACCTTGCTCTTAATGTAAGGAAACAACAACAGTTGACCAATTCAATCCCCTGCATCAATTTTTATCTCCTTTCTCTCATATACCATGATTCTAATTGGTTCCTTGCTATTCCCACCTACTATACCAGGATGCACAATAAATCCTTGAGAAGTTAACTCACTTCTTCTCAAGATTATCCCTACTGTTCCTAATGGTAAAGGACCATACACATCAGTGGTTAACTTACAACATCCAGATTTTGGGAGTAGGGTAAAAGGCATACCTGTTGCCAGATCCAAAGATGCATATCCTTCTGTGGCATGTATAAGGTCAGAAATACTTCATTTTGATTTTCTTGCCTGCCTGGAACTTTCTAGTTGATCAATGGAAGACAGCTTGTATTGTTTTACTAGAGGGGCTCGAGGAGACAAATCTCTCTGTTCCTTTACTAAGGATAAGAGGTTGCCACATATATCCCTCTTGGACCTGCAATCCTTGGCCAATGTTTACTCTTTCCACACCTGCTATAATACCTGGGAAACCCTTGTGGTTCATAGCAGCCAGAACTTGCTTGTTCTCCTCCACAAATGCCATATTCTCTAGAGTCAATGTGCTGCTATTGAGCTCTGAATCTTCTAGCCCTGGATCTCTTTGGAAATGGCCAAATTCACCATAATTAAAACATTGGGCATTTTGATTTCTAAGACTTATAGCTATGGCTTGCCCTATGCTATTAGTATGATGCTC